TTGTAACTTACTCTATGAGATGTTAAAAATTAGCAAATTGGATAATGATTTATTAATAAATTTATTAAATAAGTAAATAAATTCACCTAACTGTCTAATTTCCAACAAACAGTAAAATGCGACACTTGTTTCGGTTGCATCTCTCGATCATGTTTTGGCTTATTTTTTTTCAATTCTTCACTCCGAATGTGTCAGTGTCATTGTCAGTGTCAATTTACACTTTAGGAATCCAAAACATCATTTTTGCATTGAGGTATTAAATAACAATTCAACGATTTGAAATTGATTTTGAACGTTTCCATTATCAATTGACGGCAACATGATAATTTGAGAATATTGAAAACAATTGATTCAAAACTTCAAAAATGATTTATACAAATATTTATGAATATTGCTATTGATGTAAGATTATCTAGATTTAATTTATATCTATATTTTAAAAAAATATATATAGATAAAGCGATCAAAATAGTTATGAATGACATACCAATAAAATGAAGTTCTCTTAATTTCAAAATAATTTCATCAACCATTTGTGAAATTTTGAATTTATTACAAATTAGCAACATTTTATTTGGATGTAATTTTATTCAAATTTGAGCTGGTTTTTGAAAAACTAATTTATGTAAATGTGTAAATATATTTGTGTATATCTCATGTTTACATTTATATGACGAGCATATAAATGCTCGAATCATATCACCCCAAGGGGGCCCCACCCTGTCCTGGTAATTACAAATTCGTGTCCGCCATAAAAATTAATCAAACATCATTAAAGCGATTCGCCTTTTACAACGCCCTCATTTATTTGTGTAAAGAACACAATCTGATTCTACGATCTAATAATAGAATTTTAGCAGTTCATGGGGGTTGTTTAACATCAATTTGTATTCGGGGACGATTTCTTCTACTATTAAAGGAGAAGTGAAATAAATTAAGACGGAGGACGGAGTAAATTACTGAATCACAGTGATTCGGTTTTATTAAAATAAGAGTAAAAGCTTATTCAAGAGTGTCAAGTCAATTCTAATGCTGACATTACTAATTTCTTACAGATCCTAATATTTTACTAATACATAAAAGAAAGAACTCTTTCCATCAATAGGAACCGAATTTGAATAGATTCATTAAAATTGGTTAAAACGTGCCCACAAAATCACTGATGAAAATGGTATCGGTACATACTAGAGATGGGTAACTTACTCCGGAGTTATCACTCAGATACAACTCCTCCCTCGGAGTGAATCCGAGTGAAATTGTCTTACAGGATTCGTCATATCCGACTTCCCTAAACTGGTTCTAAATCTGTTACTGCGTTTTTGCTTTGGGAAGGAAGCTGTCGCTTTCTCGTCTCACAGGCAGTTTTATGACCTTTTAGGTATACGTTTTTTTCCAGAAAATACAAAAATATTTTTTCAAAGATACAGAACAATGAAATTGGGTTTAAGTGTGAATAGCTCAAATGTATAATTTATCGAATAGTAAGGGGTCATATTTCTAACTACGACAATCTTAGGCCATGAATGATGGCAATCAGGAATATACATACCGAAAAATACACAAAACAAAATACATATAATCTGGTTTTTCCATAGCCTGAAATAACAACACTTGCAAAATATATCAGTGACGTCAATAGTATTTCAGCAACAAAAAATATATAGTATTAAATTTTTACTTTTACGCAATTATATAATTGTCTAAAAGTAATAATATGCTAATCGAACTATCCGATGTAATATTAATTCTCGAATGGAAATAGCAGAAGAAAAAATTAGAAAGCAGAAGCATTATTATTTGGTGAAAATATTTTATGATAAATGTCGTTTTTTCGTCCCACGTGCAATTTTATGACTTTCTAGGTATAAAACGACCCAAAATAATGCAACTTTGTATTCTATATTCTGTATACAATTATTCTTGCCCGTAAATGAGCTCTTTCAATGGTATACAACCAGCTAAAAATATTTAATATTATATTATAACTTATATACATTCATGATTTTATAATTGTATAAAAGTAATAGTATGCTAATCAAACTACCTGATGTATAATTAATTCTCGAAAAGGAAATAATAAAATAATGTGAGGTATTATTATTTTGTGAAAAATATTATACACCAAGATTTGTTCTTATTTCATATATAAGGTTCACTGCATTATTTTCATATAAATATAAAATTATTCAATGAAATCTATTTTCTCTTCAAAAATAATTATAAAATTGCAATTATAACACTACAAAAAATATAAGCCATTGATTCGATCGCCTGCCAAAATTTTTACAACCCAAAATTTATTGGTAAATTTTTTCAATCATTGTTTTATTGACATTTATTTATTTATGAATTGTCTGGTCGCCTGATTATCTAGTTGACATTTTTCTATAGCAAAAAAATTACCCTGATATTTCAACATTTTTATTGATTACCAAAAAAATCATGATAGTTACAAAGTGAGTAACTGCAGGAGGAAGTTTACTGATGAGCAAACTAGAAACTCTATCTAATCTAACAAATTTAAGATACTTTAAAGAACTCTACTGGCAAACCAACAAAAATTGTACATGTGTAACTGAAGAAAATGTAAAAAATGTGAAAAATGAAACCACAAAAATATGAAAAATGAAGCCGATCACTTTCAAGAGAAATAATTACTTTTCCAACAAGCTTAGGTCATGAAACAAAATCTATTAATAACCAAATTCAGTTTCGAATTAAAAAGCAAATTATAAACTAGCAAAAAAGAAACTTTATAGACAAAGCAGTATATTATATTAATTTAATCCAGAAAGGCGTTAGTTAGTATGACCATCAGGTTTTCTATATGGTCTTTAATATGGATATTTTCGAATTTCCTTGCTCCCAAGGACTCAAATGCTTCCAAATTGACAAAAAAAATCTTTGGAAGTTTCAGCTCTTAATATTAACTCTAACATACTCCGCACTACAACCAAACTTTCTTGGACTTTCTTCCTAAGTAAATACTTATTTTATGAAATATATCAAATTTTCGTTGTATTTTTTAATTTATGATATAGATAAGCAAGTATAATGTTATTCTTAAAAAAATGATACACTTGTCGCTAAGTTTTAAATTCTAAAAAACCATATTAAAGACTAACCTAGTATATATATATATATATATATATATATATATATATATATATATATATATATATAATATACATATACATATCGATTATTTTCCCTGATGAATAAAAGTGTGGTATTGGCCTTGAAGAAAAATACTGAGAAATCCTCCGTTTTTCATAATGAATGAATGAATGAATGAGCGCGCCATGGCGCTTCATTATTTCTTTATTTACGTACTGAATCAGTATCATCAGATATTCTACACTAATTGCATATAATTATATATATATATATATATATATATATATATATAAATTATACAAAAAGAGAATTTGCGAAGGAGCCTATTTAACAATTTCTAGAACAAAAAATACACGGAATAAACTCAACATACAGAAACATCCTTTACCTCTAGATAGTATTTCCAAATTATTTACAAATCAATAAAAATGTGCAAAAAATTCACAATTAGTTCCACACATGTTAGAATCTTGCTAAAAATATTTTTATAAATCTTTTTATTATTTCTCCAACTAGTGTACAGATTATACATATTGCACACATATTGTGAAAATTTAACTTTTCAATAAATATTTGGATGAATGCCTGGAAAAATTTAATATATATATATATATATATATATATATATATATTAATTTATATTTATTTACATTGGTGTGTGGTCCCATTGGTGGTCGCCTAAAACCTAAAAGTGTGGGTGTGTGTTTATTTCGGTCTTAAAATAAATGTCTCAAGTAAACAAGAAAAGCATTCTCGTTTCTAATTCCGATCGATATTCGACATTCGTCATTTTACTCTGATTACATATTAAAATATTAATTATGCATATTCGGGCTTTTTTTCGATGTAGTATTATTAGAACTGTGACGCTTTGGTATAAACCATGTATAGAGTAATTTTTGGGATTTAAATAAATACATGTAACTTCTATATATTTCAAGTCTTATTCAGAGTCTTATAATTTAAAAAGGTCTAAAAATTTGAACCAAATTGTTATTTGTATTTATTCTTGTACTTGTAATAAAAGGTGTAAAAGTAGCCAAAATCTCTAGATAAAAAGGATCTAAAAGGCAATGACATATACAATTAAATATTTAAAAAAATAATAAGTTTTATATTGAAGAAGAAAGTTTTAAAGTGTAAAGACTTGTGATAAAAGTACAAAAGAAAAACCGAAAATATTTAACAGATTCTTATATTTTAGAAAGTAAAATAAAGGTGCCAACAACTTTTGATAAAACAGAGGAAAACTATTAAGAATATCCAAATAATATTGGAGCCTTGTACTTTTAATGAAAAAACCAAAAGTAGGCAATTTGGGCGAAAAAGGGCTTGACCATATTTAACAAGTTCTTATGTTTGGAGATTTCTAAAAAATGGTGCAGACGACTTATAATAAAAAAGGAAAATAATAATAAAAATATCCCAAGAACATAGTCTTACATTTTTAATAAAAGGTCTAAAAATAGCCAAAATCTCTAGGTCAAAGATCAAAGAAGGCAATGAAATATACAATTAATATTTAAAAAAAATAATTGACTAGTGGTGTATGGCATCGTGCCTAAAGAAGAAAATTGCAGGAACTTCCCGTACTATAACAAAATGTTTGAATGATGATTATTATAAAATAATGTTACATTGTTTAATACTTATAAGAATTATATAAACAGA